GCAATGAGTAGAGTTCACTTGCATTTACCGGTCAGAAAGATGCCATCAACTTGGATTACTGGTAGACAATGAGTGAAACCATCAATACATGGTTTGAATGCCCAAAATAGTCGATTAAACACGCGTTTAGCACCCCCTCCAAAATCTTCATAACTAGGCACAAAAACGGACCCATGATTCTTGTCAACCATTACAAGAATCAACCGAGGCAGGTTAGCAAATGACTCTTCCGAATCGCCATTGATAGCACCATTTTTGCACATGTTTGCACTCTAGTTTCCTGACCATTTTAGCTCGAATATGTGGTTCATTGGCCTATTTTACGCTAGGTTGTGCTATTTTATCATATTTTAGGTCATAGCAGGTAAATGAAGGCAATGGCGCAAGCTTCGGGTCATTTGGAGGTCATTTGGCAATTTAGGGTGCAAAATACCGTTGTCCCCTGAGGAATTACGACCGTGCTTCTGTTGACGTCTGCCAGTATTTTTACTGGCAAACCTGGAGAGTGGTCAATTGCAAAATACGGTCGTCTTGCTAAGAATTACGGTAGTATTTTGCTTGCTCTTGCCTATAAATTTAATGCCGAGCCAAGCCCGTGGAGATGTCTAAGGAAGTGAAAAATACGGGCAAGACCAGTTTAGAAATACGGTCATATTTTTGTGATTACGGGCTGTATTTTGGTAACTACGACCGTATTTCCTCCCTCATCAATAGTAAGTGAAATGTGCGTTTTGGGCAAAATACGGGCATATGTGAATTACGACCGTATTTCTACCCGTATTTCGCCCAGAATCGGGTTGAAAGAGGCAAATTCGAGCCAAAGGTAGGGGATTCGACTTTTTGGAGCAAAAACAGAGTTCTAGAGAGAGAAAGTGCAAAGAACATACCCTATGAGCTATTTGAAGTGGATTTCTCACCATTGAAGCCTAGATTGCATCCCGAGGAGTGAAGATTGACATCCCAGAGCAGATAATTCTCATCTTTATGAGTATGATTGCTTTGATTTCTGTTTTCCTCTCTCTCTATGGAGTAGACCTTTCTCTCACTTGGGTATGAAGAACCCTAGTTCCATGTGTTAGGGATCTTGATTGTAATAACTTTTCGAATGATATACTGTTTGATTATAATCGATTGAAGTGTGTTTATTGAGTCAATTGAATTCTTATCAACTTCTCTTGATTTCCGCTGCAACATGTGATAGATAGAATCGAATAGGTTGTTACAGCTTCTTCAATCGTTGCGTTCCTCGCTCATGAGGTCCAGCCGAATTACGCGTCGGTCCGTGTTGGCGAACAACTCTTGATTGGTCTGGTGCCCTTCTCTTTCCCAGTACAGCTCCCTTCCCGATTTGACCCTGGTGGGTACAGCTCCGCGCGGCTGGCCGTCACGTCTGGGCAGCTCATCAAATGTCGTCGGGAGCTTGACCAGCCCAGTGTCTGCTCCGTCATCATCGTCGAGGGCCAGGTTGCCCCATGCAATGCTGGTGATAGGGATAGCCCCTCCGCAACCCTCCTCTCCTGCTGAAGATAGGCCCGACCGATCTTCTTGGGGCTTGCCTGCACAGACTCCACGCCCTCCATCTTCTCCTTGGCTGCAATCTGATCAGTGGTGCGCCTCTCGCCGGTCTTTCCTTGGTCGACGACTCCCGCAATGAGGGTCTCCATCCTTTTCATACAGCTCTCCAGTTCTCGGCGCAACATGTCGCCGTTTTTTTCGAACTCGCGCCTGATCTCGCTACGTAGCGTCTCGGTCACCTGGCGGATCTCGCCTTGCAGCATGGATTGACCATCCTTGAGAAGATCAACGTCAATGAGGATTTGATCGTGCTCTTCCTCGGCGGCTCACATCTGGTGATTGAAGTCGGCCACTCGATCCATGGTGTCTCGGAGTTGCTGGTCGATGGCGGCGGCAGCGGCTTCCAAAGAAGAAGACGTGTTCTTCTTCGACGACATCGTGGCTGGCTCCTGGGTTCTTTCGAAACCAGGCTCTGATACCAATTGATGCGTGGTGGTTCACGCGTCAGGGTTTTAGAACGAGAAAGAGGGAGAAAGCTAATGAAAAATGGTTTATTCTTATTCTGGTAAATTAAACGTAGAGGCTAATTACATATTTATAGCACAAATCCCATAAACCACTTCCCCTCCGTACAAGGAAACCCAATCCTATACTGACTCCTAACCGATTACTTCCCCAATAAGAAACAATAATAACCCAAAATAACTAAAAAGAAACCCAAAAGTAATAATAATAATAATAATAATAATAATATCCGAAAATACCCTAATGACCTAGACGGTCCAAAAACATGCACTCATCACTTTCCTTGCAATTCAAAATTAAATCCATCAGTCTTCAATCGCTCTTCGATTGGAGCCAATACCATCTCAATTAGTTGAATTTAGCTATCATCTAACTAAGCCGACGAGTTGTACTGGTACCCGTAATACCCAAACGGGTAATAACGGGTAACCCGTGGGTACCTATTGTAGAAATGTTTGATCTCAAATCCCATCTTGTAAAAAAATTTCGGGTATTTGGATACCCGTAACTCTAAACAACGGGACAAGTATAAGTATATCCAAATACCCGTTTCCCGTTGCAAACCCCTAAGAGTGGTGATTTGTTTTTTGAATGTATGATTTGTTAATAGTATCTATTGGTTGCAAATGTTGATATCACCATTACTATTAGGTAATGTACTTTACCAATTACGATTAATAACATGACAAGTTTGCAAATCATATAAATTGATTCAACATTTTGACTAGTTTTTTAAAAAGGTTTTAAGTATATATACAAGGTAGAAAAAATTGGTTAATAATTGTGAAAAATATTTCAAATTAGTGTAATAAAATGTGTAAGCTAGTAGCGAGTAAGGAATAAGTAACTCGATGCAGTAACCCAAATAACTCACAACCTGCATGAATCGAAACTCGATGAACCCGTAACCCAATTTTCCAGAAACCCGATTGAAGCCGAACTCGATGAACCCACAACCTGACTAACCCGCAATACAATTGAACTCATACCCGATTGAACCCAAATCCGTTAAACTCGAAACCCGATTGAAGCCCGATGCGGAAAAAGTAAAAATTGATTATATATCGCGACCTATTCTTTACTAATTTGAACCAGCCCTATTGACACCTATAGGCAAGACTAGCAGTAGGGGTGGCTATACGGTCCGGTCCGGTTAAATTGGCCCGAATTGATCTGGTCTCGGTCCAGTCTTTTCGAGAATATAAGGACACAAAATTGCATTGGATACAGTTCGTTCCCAATTCGGTTTTGATTTTAGATTGAGCTTGTGGTGATTTGAGTGGCTTAAGGCCTGAAAGAGTGAGTAGGTTAAATTTTGAGTGTTGGGCTCTCTTATCCGGTTTTCGGTCCGATCCTGAACGATTTTTTACCTCAAATCTTAGTCAAAAAATGTGATTGTATTGTTTGCTATCCTGTCCCAATCCCGGTCCAGGTCCAATCTCGATACGTTTTATACGGCCGATTTCGGTAAAACCAAAATGTCCGGAAATAGCGGAAAAAATCCAAAAGTACCACTGTTTAAAAAAAAATTCCAAAAATACCACCCAATCCCAAAAAATTCCAAAAATACCACCCTTTTTCAAAAACCGCCACCCCACCCAGCGGTTTGGTCGAAAACCGCTTGTCGGGGGCGCGGTTTTGGACCAAACCGCGGGCCTAGGGGGCGGTTATAAAAAAAAAAAAAATTTGGACCAAAACCGCTGGGTGGGGTGGCGGTTTGGCCCAAAACCGCCACCCCAACCAGCGGTTTGGTCCAAAAGTTCGGTCGAAACTTCAAACGAACGTAACTTTGCACTCGGGTATCCGATCGTAGCGATTTTTTTTTTTCATTTCGCATAACTTTTCAAGATCTACAACTTTTACTAGGATGAAATTTTCAAAACAGGAACTATTTGTGGATATACGGGACCTTGAGAATAACTTTACCTTTACTTTTCAGAAATCCATGCACATTTTGAAATTATGATTATATTAAAAGTTGTAGATCTTGAAAAGTTATGCGGAATAAAAAAAATTCATGACATTCGGATTTTGGAGCACAAAGTTATGGCCGCCCAAAGTTTGACGAAATAAAAAAAGGTCGTTCGGGGTGGCAAATGACGTTTTTTCGAGACGAAGACGGAACCCGACTGTTTGAGACTTGCAAGATCTCAAAAATTTATTCGGATTCAAAAAATGGAGGCCGCAAACTTTTTGAGATCTTGCAAGCCGCAAACCGCCGGGTCTCGCCTTTCGTCAAACTTTGGGCGGCCATAACTTTGTGCTCCAAACTCCGAATGTTATGAACTTTTTTTTATTCCTCATAACTTTTCAAGATCTACAACTTTTAATATAATCATAATTTCAAAATGTACATGGATTTCTGAAAAGTAAAGGTAAAGTTATTCTCAAGGTCCCGTATATCCACAAATAGTTCCTGTTTTGAAAATTTCATCCTAGTAAAAGTTGTAGATCTTGAAAAGTTATGCGAAATAAAAAAAAAATCGCTACGATCGGATACCCGAGTGCAAAGTTAAGTTCGTTTGAAGTTTCGACCAAACTTTTGGACCAAACCGCTGGTTGGGGTGGCGGTTTTGGGCCAAACCGCCACCCCACCCAGCGGTTTTGGTCTAAATTTTTTTTTTTATAACCGCCCCCTAGGCCCGCGGTTTGGTCCAAAACCGCGCCCCCGACAAGCGGTTTTCGACCAAACCGCTGGGTGGGGTGGCGGTTTTTGAAAAAGGGTGGTATTTTTGGAATTTTTTGGGATTGGGTGGTATTTTGGAATTTTTTTTTTAAACAGTGGTACTTTTGGATTTTTTCCGGAAATAGCCACCTCTACTAGGCTGAGTTAATTTTGGCCCAAACCAATTTCCTCTTGGATGCACGTTTTCAGCCTAAGACGAACAAGCAAGATGTTGGGCTTGGGCTAAAACTTGTCCGCCCAATGATTGTGGCTAGGGTTTATTGTTTCTCTGCCCCACACATATAAAACGTTAAACGGCAGCCAAGTTCTACCTCCGCTTCTTCTTGCTTTCAGATTTTGGAATGGTGGCGAGAGCTTAACTGACACCGGACGATTACTGAAGAAGTCAACGAGTAGCTGTGGATAGATGGTGCACGTCGCGTTTTACCGCAACTGTGAGTTTTCTTTCCCCCATTTTAGCTGTTGGTATGATTAGCATTTTTGGGGGACTTAGTTCTTCAATTATTATCTTTACTGCTGCGATTTCTAATACTCTAGTATCTTTGCTTTATTATTCGCTTTGATTTGATCGTGCGATTCATGGGAATCTTTATCTTTAGTGATTTTTTTTCGTTGATTAGGATAAAGCTCGCGCTTTCCCGAAATTGGGTGTTCCTTACTTTAGCTTCTTGTGATATGAATTATGAACAGTTAGTAAGGTGTATGTTGTTGTTTTGAAGTGATCTGGACGGTTACTTTCGCTACTACCCTTTTGTAGTGAGCGCAAATGATATATTGCATTACATCTTGATTGAATTTTTTTTGAAGTAACATGTGTTGGGGAAAGAGAAGTGACTTTATCTAGGTGGCGAGCATGGGATTTTTGGGGGATGCTTCTTGCTGGGGACTTTTGATGCGTGGTGCTTAATGGAGAACCAACCATCTGGGTGATGTTTGTACTTCCACTGCACAAGGTTATTTCATAATGGTTATGCTGGAGTACCATGTTAAATTTGGCCTGAAGAACTTCATTGGGTTTCTTTATTTTTATTTTTTATGAATGAATCGTATCTACGTGCTTGTATCTTCAGGTGATGATAACATGGGCAATGTATACTAACTGATTTATTCTCATGGGCAGATGGTAAAACTTTTAAGAAACCGAGGCGTCCATATGAGAAGGAACGTTTAGACGCCGAGCTAAGACTTGTAGGAGAGTATGGACTCCGCTGCAAGAGGGAACTCTGGAGGGTGCAGTATGCACTAAGCCGTATTCGCAATGCAGCAAGAATGCTTTTAACTCTTGACGAGAAGAATCCACGTAGGATTTTTGAGGGTGAAGCTCTTCTTAGGAGGATGAATAAGTATGGTCTTTTGGATGAGAGCCAAAACAAGCTTGATTACGTGTTGGCCCTCACTGTTGAGAACTTTCTTGAGCGCCGCCTTCAAACAGTCATATTCAAAGCGGGGATGGCCAAGTCAATTCATCATGCCCGAGTTCTCATCCGGCAGAGACATATTAGGTAAAAGAAAAGTGACTTTGTTTGTCTTTTTTTTTTTTTTTTTGTCGCATAGCCTCATTGCTTGCTTATTAGGTTGTAGATGTTGAACCATGCATGTTGGTGGTGCTTCGTCCAATATAGTGTTCCTTGCTTCTTTTCCTTGTTGACTAGCTTCTAAAGAAATGATTGTTGGGCATGTAATACCTAACATTGTTTATATATCCTTGCTACCTCTTATCATAGCAATCGTCAAGTTAATAAAATGGTCATAAGAAAGTCGTAGATTCCTTTCTGTTGGCCCTCTGAAGATTGGTTCATGGTTTAGTTTGTAATCCCTCTTATCAAATGCCTTTAAAATAATTTATTATTAAGGATATGCATCTTCTAAGTGGTGTAGATGAGAACTAACTTGTCTAGAACAAAATTGTTTGTATACACATTGGTATGATGTTGCTACAAGCAAATATGTTTTCTATGGTTGCTCTAGTTATATGTCTGTCAACGATGAACTAGAAGAAATGGTGGTAGATTCGTCAAACAATCTTAATTTCTTTGTTAGTCTTCTCTTAAAGGTTGGGGTTTCGGTTGGTGATCCTGGTTTTGTACAGCCGGTTTGTTCTTGCTAACTTGGACGTGTTATTTTATTGGTTTCAGGGTTGGGAGACAGGTGGTTAATGTCCCTTCCTTCATGGTTAGGGTGGACTCCCAAAAGCATGTTGATTTCTCAATCACTAGTCCATTTGGTGGTACTGGCAAACCTGGTAGAGTGAAGCGCAAGAACATCAAAGCAGCATCGTCCAAGAAAGATTCTGGAGATGGGGATGAAGACAATGAATAGTCGTTCAATGGTGGTGTTAGAGGTTGAATAAGTAGTTGTTAGTTCTCCATCTATCGATAACCTTTGTTTTACTTGTCGCTGAGCTGAGCGATACAGATGGTGCCAAACATAGTTCCCGCAATAGAAACAAGGAACTGCAAGTTTTGCATTTCTAATAGAATGTTTGCTCAGCCTGGTTTGCTATGTTATGTTCATTTCTGTCTTGTCGTTTTCTCCTTTTGGTAAATCTGCCTCTTACGGTTAACAGTTTTGGTTGGTGATCGTCTCGTTCAGAAGGCGACGTTGTCTATTCTCCACGTCCATTTTGGGCATTTCGTAGAGTGTCATGAGCTATTTCGAGTAGGAATGGCAATGGGCAGGTTTGGGGTTGGTATTTCGATACTCATACCTGTTCTGTGGTAGGTCGGGTTCAGGTCGGGTAATTTGTCATGAGGCGGGGATTAGGGCAGGTTGACCCAATCGGTATGTAATTTATATGAAAATATTAGAAATATTTGTTATTTTCATTAAAATACCAAGAAACAAACCATAATATGCTTTGTAGATGACTTCCTTATTTTTACAGAGGGGTATGCACAAGCAACATGCAGAGTACAAGAGCTATTAAATGAGTTTATTCCCTCTCTCGTCTTAAGTGTAACCCAATACAAGAGTAATGCTATTCAGTTGTCTGGATTCCATGAAGGGAAACTTCCAGTAAGGTACTTGGGGCTCCCATTGTTCTCAGGGAAACTTTCTTCTGCGGATTGTGATAAGCTGGTGGAAAAGATTACTCAAAAAATTGGGACCTGGCGTGCCAAGCAGCTGAGTTACGCAGGTAGACTTGAATTGATTAACTCAGTCTTTATGGGTTTGTTGCAGTATTGGATGCAAGTTTTTCTCTTGCCTAAGAAGGTACTAAAGAAAGTGTATACTGTTTGCTCGAATTTTCTTTGGCATGGGGGGAAGGAGGGTAGAGCAAAAATAGGATGGGATCGATTAGCTCGACCAAAAGCAGAAGGTGGTCTTGGAATCAAGGACCTTCTAGCTTGAAACAGGGCCTGCTCCATTAGAATGGTCTGGCTATTAATGATGAAGAGTGGCACAATTTGGGTGGCCTGGATGTGGAGCTACAGGTAAAGCAGGGTAGTGTTTGGAATATGAGTGTGAGTCCAAGTAGTTCGTGGGCATGGAGAAGAGTCCTAAAGCTCAGACCCCTACTTCAAGCTCATATGACGATGTCTGGTGACATTCCTAGTTGGGATGGCAAGTTGATGCCTGTATATAAAGTGTCTACTGTGTGGAGTTCTTTGAGAACTGAATATCAAAAGGTGGACTGGGCAAAATTGGTGTGGGGAAAACGACACCTGCCTAACAACAGTTTGCTTGCGTGGCTTGTCTTATTAGATGGTATTATCACTAGGGATAAGCTGTTAAGATGGGGTAAGATAACAGATGGTGCCTGCTTATTTTGCAGAGCCTCGGTTGAATCCAGAGAGCATTTGTTCTTTCAGTGTGCTTACTCAATGCAGGTTGTTTCATGCTGGAGAGATGGTCATCTGTTATGCAGCTCTAGTTGGCAGGGGAATGTAAATGCTGCTGTTGCTCTGAGCAAACAGAGAACGTCTGCAGGGAGAGTCGCATATTCTGGTGTGCTTGTATTGCTTATTTGTGGCGTGAAAGGTGCAGCAGGCTGTACCAATTACCTCCCAGGGATGCTGCTGATATTGGTAGATTGATAGTTTCTGATTTATTGTATATGGGTAGTGTGAATAGTAGTTTACAGGCAGACCTTAGTGCGGCTGGGTTTATAGGTTGAGTTGAGGGGTATCTGATGTAGGAAGGTGGGGGGGGGGGGGGGGGGGGTCTTTGATGTTTCGTTTTTGCAGGTTTACTCACATCGAGTTGTCCTTTTCGTTGTATCGGTTTCTATATGTACATTGCATATAGGTTTCTGTAATACAAATGCAACTGATTCAACGAAAAAAAAACCCCATAATATGGTAAAATGTAGTTAAATGATTGGAGAAATTGAGTTTTCTACTTACTTACAACTTTATTATAGCTAAAATATGAGGTAATAAAAGGAAACTTCTAAGTAATTTCTAATTTGACTAAGATTACATGTAATTTAGGCAAAAACGGGTTGAGAATGGGGCAGGTCAGGGCAGGTTGGGTCGATGAGAGGTACCAATGCCCGCCTCGCGCCGCTTGTGAGGCGGGTCGGACCCTTCCCAAACAGGTCAAACAGATCGAGTAAAATGGGTCAGATTGAAATTGCCATCCCTAATTTCGGACGGTTCCCGTCTGCTAATAACCAATTTGTTACCTTTATATTACAAGAGACTAATCATCATATATAATAATAATATAAAGGGAATGGGCACCAGTGCTGTTCCCCGTCAGGCAGCCTTTACTGTCCATCTGGCGGTTACAAACAATGTAGTTATTGGTCTTTTATCTCGGGTTATAATTAGGGATGATAAAAATATTCGAACTTGTGGATGTTCGCCCAAATATGGCCTAATCAAGTAGGATAAAATCCAAATCTGAATAATTTTCAGTGGGTATGGGTAAAATTCTAACCCGAATATTGTGGGTAATGGGTGGACATGGTTTTGTCCCTATCCAACCCAAATATGTTCAATTATACATATTTATATGTATTTTATCTAAAAATGATCATTATTTTCTCAATATATTATATATTTAGCATTCAAATATAATATTTTTATGAAATTGTGTTGTTTGAAATTAATTTTCTTCATTCTGGTGAATTTTTATTCTCGTAATTTTCGACTTATATAATGTGAGTATACGTGTGACTGTTAAAATCTTAGATGTAATTAAAAAGATAATTTATTATCCATGGATAACTGTGGATACCCGAAACACGAACGGATATGAACATCATTTTGATATTCTACCCGATTCTTATGTGGGTATAGTCTGTATTTGTATGGATATGAGTAAAACCCTAACTAATATGAATAGGGTAATGCCGTAATGGACATGCACTATCTACCGCCGACCCGTTCCATTCCTAGCTATAACTCCCTTCCAAGGCTGTCAACCCACGGGTTGACCTGCGGGTCGACCCAGTTTGACCCTGACCCTGTGAGAAAAACGGGCCGCACGCACCCGCCGGGCCGACCGCTACAAGGTACCGGGTTGGAGGTCAAATTGTGTCATTTTTTTTTGGTTTGCGAAATGCGCCTATTTTCCGATTTTCCTTTTCGCCTAGCTCAATTTTTGGAATGCTAAGTTGAACATTTGAATATTTATGTTATATAAGTGTGTGTGAATTTTCACTATATGTTGGATCTATATACGATATGTTATTTTGGTGTAATATTATATGTTATAACTCATATGTTAGATAAGATTTGATATAATTTATGAGGATAAGTACAATATAATGTCTTTTTCCATATTTCCGGGCCAAACGGGGCTAAAACGGTTGACCCATTAACCCTTGAACCACTAGCTCGACCGGGTCCGGGTCAACCCGCGGGTTGACAACCTTGCTCCCTTCTATTCAATTTGGCTAGAAAAATGAATTAATGGAATGTTTAATTCTCCTTAATACCCGCCGGATACTTCAACTTTCAATTCAAAATTTTCCAGCATTGAATGAGATTGTTCACCGTGAGTCCCTTTTATAGCACACGACATCAATCATCGCGCCCCAGCCTTACTATCGATTCGGATACCTCGTGCCGGAAATTCTAATGTATTTTATTAAAAAATTAAAGTTTCAGCCTTATTACTCATCCTCCGAATCCAGAAGAGGATGGCTCCCTGGAAGGCAAAACGCCTCTCCTTTGCGGCTAGACTCACCCTAACCAATTCTGTTGCTGTGTCCTTACCTGTTTACAGTATGCAGACTGAGTTGATCCCTAGCAATATCTGCAAAGGCATTGACAAGTTAAACATGAACTTCATTTGGGGGGACGAACCGGAGAAGAGCAAGATGCACCTGGTGGCTTGGGATACGATGACTTCTCCTAAATGCCAAGGTGGAGTGGGCATTAGGCAGACCAGGCAAGCCAACATTGTCATGTTAGCCAAGAGCGGATGGCGCATGATTCAGGAGAAAGATACTTTGTGGACTCGAGTGATGCAAGAGAAGTACGGCAGACAGAGGCAAGGACTCAATTTGATCAAGCCAGTAGAGGGAAGTTCGTTTACCTGGGCCAGCTTGGCCAAAGCTTCTTCCATCCTTAACAAAGGATGTGCGTGGAATGTAAAGAATGGTAAAGGCACTAAGTTTTGGCTTGATCCGTGGGTTTTACATGTTCCTTTGAAGGAGATGGTCACTGGCGATATTCCTCCAGAGCTGGAGGAGGCGGCGATCGCGGATTTCACTGGTGATGACGGGAGCTGGTGTACCGAGCTCTTCAGCAACCTCCTTCCGAGCGAGATCCACCAAAAAATCCTGAGTATTGCAGTTGACAAGCTCTTTCAGGAGGAGGACCGACTGTTTTGGTCGGTGACTGCAGATGGCCGCTTCTCCACCAAATCGGCTTTCACTTTGCTCACCCAAAGACCTCCGGACCCGAGCGAGAAGATCTGGAAGACCATTTGGCGCCTTCCGGTGCCGGAGCGGATCAGAACTTTTATGTGGCAGACGCTTTTGGGGAAGATTGTTACCAATGTTCTCCGTTACAGCAGGAAGATAGCGCCGAGCCCTTGCTGCGACCAATGCACCAACCAACCGGAATCGATCCTTCCCATCCTCAGGGATTGCCCTCCAGCCATCTTCTTCTGGTCCCGCCATGTCCCTATCCAGCGCCAGCAGACCTTCTTCAGCGACCCGCAGGAAGACTGGCTCCGCAAGAACCTGCTAGAAGAAGAAATGATGGCGTCTGACATTAGCTGGCCGACCTTCTTCAGCATGGCTGCCAGGCTTCTCTGGAAGAACAGGTGTACGGCTGCTCTTCGAGGCAAGACAGCTTCCCTCTCTGCTCCTACCCTCGGGCACTCCATCATGACCAAGGCGAAGATGTGGCACGACTCCTGGCACGCGCCTACTCTGCTTCCGGACAGCCGTGCGCGCCCTGCAGCTTGGCAATGGGAGAAAATAGGCTGGTCCCCCCCGCTGGAAGGTTGGGTAACATTGAATGTGGATGGGGCTTCTAATGGGAATCCGGGCCAGGCTGGTGCTGGAGGAGTTATCAGAGGCTCCACTGGTATGTGGGTGGGCGGTTTTGTGGCAAATATTGGAGTGGCCACGACGGCTCTTGCTGAGATTTGGGGAATCAATCATGGACTAGATTTGGCTTGGAGACTTGGATACAGAGCAGTCAAAGTTGAATCGGACTCGCAGTTGGCCGTGAAGCTCATTCAGAACAGAGATGACCCTCTCCACCCGTACGCTACTCTTCTGTCTAGCATCCGCAGGAAACTAGGCCGAGATTGGTTGGTTAACATTACTCCTGTATACCCGGAAGGGAATAGAGTCGCGGACTGGCTCTCGAAGCACAGACTCGTCTATCCCTACGGTATGCATGAGCTTGCTAGCCCACCCCCCGGTCTAGAGGCCCTTCTTCGAGATGACTTCCGAGGCACCACCTTCGAACGCCACGTTGTTGTTCGACCTTCCACTTCTAATTCCACTCTGTAACTCTTTCTTCTCTTGCTCGGCTGCGGCCTCCCCTTAATGCAAAAAAAAAAAAAAAATTGAATTATTTTGTCATTTTAAGGTCGTAACAAGGAGATTCATTGCTTAATTTATTCTCGCTTTGCTTTGTATATGCATGCTAGTACAAGTTTGATGCCATTTTACATTGCCTTACCCGGAGATTAAATTGCCTTATATGATGCCCTGTAGGGGCAGAGGGAGAGTGTTAAAGGATGGGTCCCGGCTCGGGAGTAAAAATGTTAAATTAGATATAGTAATTAATCGGGTATGAAAAATAACACGTGTTAAACTTAAATGAAAATGGTTGAACTTTCATATGTATGATGTTTGATTTATAAGTTGTGTATTGACATGTTCAATGTTTTTATAACGAGCTTTGTACAAATGGCAATGATGCATATGATCTGCCAAAAATTAAAGATGTACATATTCAATATCTACCACATATTTCCACCAAATCATAGCTAGTTTGTAAAAATAATTTTATTTCAATAAGGGGTAGGGAGAGTGAAATTAGTATAATAGTTAAAATTGAAAATGGTTGACCGAGAGATCATGTGTTCGAATCTTAACGACCCTATTTGTTCAGCACGTGATATACATATTTGCAAAAACTTTAACCACGTATAAATTGGTTTTTGTTAGCAAAAAGTGTTAGTAAATATTAAATAGTTTAAGATTCATAATTAAATCTTTTCCAACAACTCGAGTTGTTGATACTAAACGGTCTTTTCAAAGAATACCATTCAAAAGCAAATATTTAACTAAATTATGAATAATCTTTTTCGGTAATTAATTATGAATAATTTTTCGATACATATAGATTGATATTTTAGTCATATATTTAATTTACCAAATTTTTTTAAATAAATAATTATATCATGGTTGATTTAAATGCTTAATAAATAATTTTTGTTCAAGCCTCCGGGTACTCGTCGAGCCTTATTGTTCGTGGCTCAGATGAGCATGTGCTCATGCCTTCGGAGTCCGGCATCAGGGTATCTTTGACCCATATCTTGAAGAATTACTAGAATCTTGGGATGCCATCTCACTTGCGATCTCAAGAAGATTGTCTTGAGTTATCTTCGAAGGTGATGCCAAAGTTGTCATCCATCCGCTTAGTCAAAGAGTGTTGGTGGATTATGTTGGAGGACCCCTACATCGGGTATGTCATCTTCTAGTTGAGTGCTTATCTCATTGTATAGTTTTTAGGGCGGTTCGGTGGACTCTCCATAGAGTGACACGTAAAGCCCTGTTGCTATCTATTTTAGAGTTAGCAGTTTCTCTCATTTTGTAGAACGATTTCACTTTGGTGTGATTGAGAGGGTCTTGAGTTCTAATGCTTTCTAACTATTTTTATGTCATTCCTAAAAAAAGGAGGATAATGTTTTTTCTTCTTCATTTTTTCATAGGAAGAAAGGATAATGTTACATTTTTTTGGATGTTATTAGTCAATTAATAAATAACATAGTCGAATCGCTTAGCAATGAAATTGCACCCATCCATAATTGCAATGTTTTTTTTGTACAATTCATCATTGCAAAGCTGCTGATGATTATTTGGAAACCGTAAAACAGAGGAAGGAAAACATCAGAGTTGAAAAATACATAAAATGAAACAAAGAAGGAGGCAAACCTTTACGTTCATCATTTCGATACATTCATAATTCATTTCTCCCTCCCGTTTCACGAAATTCCTGAAAATCAATCAAAGAGTATATTATATAGAACCCGGCCATCGTCTTCAGAGATCGGAAGATTTCCCTCTTACTTCTACTCTTTCAGCGCGTAGCCCAAATCCAAAAAGTTTGATGTTCTATTCTTACTTGCATGATAACGTCGACAATCTTTTCCGCCATTGTTATGCGGAATCTCGAATTCCCATTTCATAGACAACACCCTAATTTATGGGTTATTTTTAGCTCAAGAGGGATTTCATATGCAGTTTTGCCTCCTGGGATTTTGCGTACGAAAGAGTGGAAATCAGGTGTTTTGGAGGTATACATGCAATGTGGTGATATTCTAAAGGGTAGTGTGGAGGAGCTACCATTTTAGAGTGTAGTGGGTTTGGGAGAGAGGAACATGATCATAGGCTTCATGTGATTGTTTTTCGTTTGCATAGATTGATGAATGGTGGTTTGAATTTTTTGTGTTCAAATGGGTATTGGTTCTTCTTCCACAAAAGTGCAGCTCCTTGAATGGCTGATTCTCAGAGAGTTGGTCTTGGCGAGAGAGACATCGACCAGGTTTCTTTCTTCTTCTCTTTACTTATTAATGTTCTCTCGAACTAGTACTTGATGGATGCATGGAAATCATTCTTCAAGAGTTGAGCTTTGAAATTGTTGTTAGGATTTACTAGGTTTGTCGATAATGAAAGTCGTTGGTCTTCATTGTTATGATGACATGATACAAGTTGGTAGACTTGATATGATTGCTAAAGCTGTTTATGCACCACAATGTCAATACCAAAACCTGAATGATGTAAGAACTTTGTTTTGTGTTCACTGTCTAATGTTCTTCCCATCCTTCATTACCTATTACAGGCCATTACAACACTTAAGAAAGGGTCCTATTTGCTCAAATATGGTCGTAGGGGAAAGCCAAAGTTTTGCCCGTTTCAACTTTCAAGTGTAAGTTGGTCTTCTTTAAGCTTAACTTAACCTACTACATTTAAGTTCTTGTGTTTCTTTTATATATGCTGAATTTTTTAAGTTCTTACTTTCACTTTTCCTTTAGTTCGAGGTAAGGAGGATAATATGATATAAAGAAACATCAAGCGTGAAAAATATTGTCATACTTATAAAATCCGGATTTCTCACTACAATTGTGCTTATTTGATTTGGTTGTGTCAGGATGAGTCTACATTGATATGGTACTCTGGGAAAGATGAGAAGCAACTCAAGCTTTGTCAAGTTACAAAGATCATTCCCGGACAACGAACGGTAAGTGTCCAAAGTAGTTCTTTTGGGGTGGAGGAATTTTGTTGTCGTACTTGCACCACGTGTTCAATGTTTTTTTCTCAAAATCACCTTATGGCTATTTCAATTCAACTTGTTCAGTTAAGCTATTTGTTTACTTTTAATCCTCCATTATGTTCTTATGATTTGCAATGCATTTTCTTTCAGGCAATATTTCATCGCTATCCTCGACCGGAGAAGGAGTATCAATCGTTTTCTCTTATATATGGAGATAGGTCTTTGGATTTGGTGAGTTGCTCATATTCTGTTTTGACAAGAATACTATTCATGATAAGTCATGACCATCTATCTATTTGTTCTGTGCTCAAACTATGGCTGGGAGCTTTGGTTTGTACGGAGAGAAAATAGTCTACACCATGTATAAGAAGAAATAACTTGAGGTATGTTTACAGATATGTAAAGACAAGGACGAAGCTGATGTTTGGTTTGTTGGTCTGAAGGCGCTAATTACTCATGGTAATTACAACCGAAAATGGAGGATTGACACAAGAACTGAGAGCACACCATCAGAGAGCCCATATTCTCGTACACGACGATGTTCTCCTTCTGTTACACCATTTGTCCGTACAAATCTTTTGAGATTTCATTGTTGCTTAGCTTTCATTAAATTTTGCCTCTCTCTTTATGAGATTATTCGCCATTTTTTCAACAGGACCTAGAGGCTATAGATGGTCGAGATTCCGCCTCAGACTTGGATAGTAATGCACCAAACAGATTGGGAAAGGCATTCTCAGACATTGTAACATATACTGCTTCAATTAACCATCAAAATCTAGCAGATTCTACTACAAGTACAGTTAGCTCATTAACTATTGGATCCGCGGACAATATTCCGAGTGGTCGTAGTTCTACTAATGAGACATTTAGAGTCAGTTTATCAAGTGCTGTTAGCTCGTCCAGCCAGGGTTCGTGTCAAGATGACTTTGATGCTTTAGGTGATGTCTTTATCTGGGGAGAAGGAAGTGTTGATGGAGCACTTGGTTGTGGCGTCCATAGAGTTGGAAATCCATCTATTCCAAAATCTTATGCTCTTCTGCCCAAGGCATTAGAGTCAACTGTTGTTCTTGATGTTTACAGAATAGCTTGTGGTAGCAACCATGCTGCATTGGTCACGAGACATGGAGAGATCTTCAGTTGGGGCCAAGGTTTAGGTGGTAGGCTTGGGCATGGTAAAGAAGTAGATGTTCCTTTACCCACACTAATTGATGGTTTGAGCGGTATGAATGTAGATGTAATAGCATGTGGAGAGTACCACACATGTGCTGTAACACTTTCTGGGGATCTTTATACATGGGGCGATGGAACTCACAACTATGGTCTCCTTGGACATGGAAGTGAGGTAAGTCACTGGGTCCCTAAAAGGGTTTCTAGTAACATTGAGGCAACATATGTCTCCTCTGTTTCATGTGGACCTTGGCATACAGCTGCAGTGACAAGCAGTGGGCAACTGTTTACATTTGGAGATGGAACTTTTGGAACACTAGGTCATGGTGATCGTATTAGCACAAGTGTACCTCGGGAAGTGGAATCATTGAGAGGGATGAGGGTGAAAAAGGTTGCTTGTGGCTTGTGGCACACTGCTGTAGTTGCTGAGGAAGTGATTACTGATCCCTTGAGTGGAGAAGTTTCAGCTGGTCCTTCATCTGGGAAACTTTTCACATGGGGTAATGGAGATGAGGGCTGCCTTGGACATGGTGATGAAAATCCTAGACTAGTCCCTGAGCAAGTAGTCACTTTAGTTGATGAAAATATCTGCCAAGTAGCTTGTGGGCATAACCTTACAGTGGTACTGACGATACTAGGGCAAGTATATACAATGGGGAGCTCTACTTATGGTCAGCTTGGATGTCCCAAGGCAAATGGGAAATTGCCAAACCTTGTTAAAGGTAAACTATCAGATTGCATTATAGAAGAGGTTAGTTGTGGTTCATATCATGTTGCAGCTTTGACCTCTAAAGCAGAGGTATATACTTGGGGAAAAGGAGCAAATGGGCAGTTAGGCCATGGTGACAAAGAAAGTAGAAATACACCTAAATTAGTTGATTTCTTAAGGGACAAGCAGGTCAAAACTGTGGTATGTGGTTCCAATTTTACAGCTATTATATGCCTTCATAAATGGGTGGGCAGCGCTGATCACTCATTATGCACAGGTTGCCGAAATCAATTTGGCTTTAGAAGAAAACGTCATAACTGCTACAATTGTGGGCTAGTGTTTTGCAAAGCGTGCAGCACTAGAAAGTCTCTGAAAGCTTCTTTGGCTCCAAGTACTAATAAGCCATATCGAGTTTGTGATGATTGTTATTATAAACTGAAGAAGGTGTTGGAGTCTAATCATCAATCTTCACACACTCCCAAGGCTCGAACTGGAAACAATCCTGATAAAAGCATCGATATGATGGAGAAAGAGACAGTACTCCCCAGATTGTTGTCACAATACTCCAAACTCTCAACTATTGACGCCATTCATGGGAGCAAAACATGGCAGTCGAAACATAGTAGTAAGAAAAGGTTGCGTAATAGTCGTGTATTTCCTGTTATAACTGCCAACTTACAGTCATTGGAATTAAGTCATTTTAAAGTACCTACAATTGCACAAGGTTCCTTGAAGAAGCCCTTACAGAGGAACTTACCATCTTCTAGTGTTTGTTTGAGAACTCCTATTATTATAGATGACACAAGAAATATGAATGTCACTTATTCTGAAGAAATCCAAAGGTTAAGGGAACAGGTAAATATAGTTGAACTCATTAACTTTAGTAGTTTCATATTTATCAATTCTTATGCTTTCTTCAATTAGCCTATACGAAATCCAACAGCTTGATGGTTACACGGTTGTTAACCCATGACCTTATATTGTTTGAAGATCTCCTTGTGATCACTTAGATATATATATCTTTATTTCGGTTACATATGTTTGTCTTCTACTTCTATTTGCGATATTCACAGAAAGGAAGTTTATTTGAATGATCTTTATAGGTAGAACATCTCACTTTAAAAATTCATCGTCTTGAAGCTGAGGTTGAAACAAAAGCAAATCAGCTAAAACAAGTTACTTCACTAGCTACTGATGAAGCTGAAAAGTGCAAATCAGCAAAGGAAGTCATCAAGTCTCTGACCACTCAGGTGAACTTTGTAAAACAACCTTTTGGACTACGAACATCTGCTCATAATCTATTCTGCAACATACATGTATGTAAATCAATTAGTTGTTTTCTTGATTTTATTTCACCAGTTGAAAGAGATGGTTGAAAGAGCCTCCGAGGGAGAGGGCCTAGATGGCACCAAACATGAGTCTAATGCCAGCCATTCAGCAAATGAATTATCTCGTGAAATCGAACCCAATGGAAACTCAATAGATAACCATATGCTGACATATGGACCCAAGTGCCAAAATGAGAAACCACAACATGTGATACAGGCTGAACCAGGGGTGTTCATCACTTTGTCATCCTTGCCTGGTGGCGCCAATGAACTCAAACGAGTTCGTTTCAGGTTCGTGATAACATGGGTAACCATATTTTTCAAGTGGCATAGAATCCTTACGTATGTCAATTGTCACTTTTGGCTCATGGTAGTTTAGTAAAATTTTCAGATATTTTTGTTACAGTCGCAAATATTTCTCGGAAGAAGAAGCTGAAAGATGGTGGACGGAGAAAGGGACCAAGGTATGTGAGCGTTACAACATTCATATAGAGTGACAATGCGATCACGAGAAGTAGACTCCTCTTCATAACAAAGCCTCTAATTTTGGCAAAAGAGAAGCAATTAAAGAATGTGGCAGATTCTTCATGGAAAAATTGTACACTTTATGAAAGTTAATTCTTGCATAACAATCTTATTGAGAAAAATGTCAGGTTTCATTGGTAGATTTTATTTCTCTTCCGTACAGTCCTATTACCATTTAGAGTCAAAGCTATCTATAATTGTTTTAGAAGTAAATACAAATAGAACAAGATACTTATTACAATTCATTGATGCAAGCTTCAACGCAACATGTATTACTCAGATCTAGAAGTTACTATTTTCATTCTTCACACTAGACTAGATTAGTTTACCTAATATATAATTCTTATTGAT